AAGGATGCCAGACTCTGTCCAAGAGAAGAGGTGGATAAAAAACATTTGGGCCAAGCAAGCATTAAAGGCAATCTCCCGGGCACGGAAGCAGAGGGCAGCCAGCACAGTCGGCAATGTGGAAAAGGACACTCCCAAGTCATTGACTGAAAGAAGACATAAAAAGTAGTACATGGGCTGGTGCAAGCTCTGCTCCTCCTTCACAATAAGGAGGATCAGGATGTTTCCCACAATGGAGAAGGTATAGAGCAGAAGGAGAGGGAAGGATAGCCAGGATTCCATGGCCTCCATTCCTGGGAAGCCCGTCAGGATAAAGGTGGGAGCATCAGAAGCATTGATTTTGAAGTTATCCATGAGAAGCTGGGGACATTTGTTATCAGCCAGTCTAACTTGTGTCTAAGACTACTATTGTTCCTGGGGAGGAAAAACAACACAAAGGTTAATACATTGTGATTACACATAGATTTTAATACTAAAATACACTGGGATTGGGGTGACAGGGTGGCTCAGTCAGTTAAGCATCCAGGTCATGATCTCATCGTTCATCAGATGGAGTCCCACATCAGGCTCCACGCTGATAGAATGGAGCCTGTATGGGATTTTTTCTCTTCCTCTCTCTTTCCCTCACCCATGTGCATGCATGCACTCACTCTCTCTCTCTGTCTCTTAAATAAAAAAGAGGATGGATTGGGAGGATGAAGAGGAGGTATTGAAATGCTAGCCATCAACAGAAAGACTTCTTTCTTAGACATCCTTCAGAAAAAGAGTAGATTAGGACTCCTCTTCAGGGTGGTTGACTAGCTCATTAAGTGTCATTGATACCCTCTGGATACCTCCAATGTGGTCGCCGTCACAGCTGTACTTCAAATGCCTCAAGTTTCATTGCCATGATCTTAGCTAAACCCCAAGAGATATTCACACTTACATCCAGTCTGACAGATGAGGAACCAAGTGTTCAAGAAAGGAGAGAGAATTAGTCCAGGTTTTCTTGGAAGGCAGTTACATGGCTAGAACTAAAATTCAGTAATCCAATCTCTACCCTGAGGAACTTACATGCTCTACAGTCCTACATGTCACACTGGAAGAGTCCATGCAGGACCCCTGGAAAACCAAAATATCTGAAGAGGCATTGGAGACTACTAGTTAAGAACACGGTGCTCCAACATCCTGGGTTTGAGGTCCAGTGACCTTAGGTAAGTTTCTTAAACTCTCTTCACCTGTTTCTTTGCATTTAGAGCAGGGATTAAAGAAATTTGCCCTATGGATATGGATGCATGCATATGTAAGATAGAAAGAGAGAATAAGAGAGAGGGAGAGAGAGAGAGAACTTGGACTTGGAACAGGTCTTCCCCACAGTAAGCATTATATAAGCACTGCTATTAATGTTATTATTTAAAATTTATTATTTTAACAGCATATTTAGATGGAAAATAAATAGCTCATTGTGCTTTCCAAAAGCACAAAAGTCACTAAATGTATTTATATTAGATTTAACTATGTATTTTTAAATCACTTGTTATTGCATAATAGATCATGGTACAGACAAGCAGAAGTAAATTGCAAAAGCTTGAAAATTAAGAGAGAAAAAATATAATACTGAAAACATTCTATCCATTACCTTATTTTTTCCTATGTTAAGGAGTAACATTCTTTTGTTTCCATAACAGACCATTGTTTTCCATCTCAGAGACTGTCAAAGTTCAAAAGGGAGTAAAAAATGAGAAATACTGCCTGACCTTAGCCCAAGGCAGGTTGCAAGGAGAGGTGATAAAGGAGTATGAAGTTGCCATCTTCCTTTCTGGTCTCCTGCACTGTGGAATTTCAGAAACAACCATTTAGGGAGGGAACCACATTTAGGAATATTTCATAAGACTCTAGGGCATGACCAGAAAACCTTGCATGCCCTGTAATAAGTGGCTTTAACTGCTGGTTTGGGGATATAGATGTTAAATGCCCACTACTTCTCATGGATGATACCTAACACTTGAGCAAAATTACTCACCGTTGAGTAATTTATTATTTTATGTAACCTTTGGGGAGAAAGTTGCTTTTGCTCAGTTATAAGGCATGTATTATATCAATGAACAATCAAATCATAAATCAGAGAGAAATTCCCTGCTAGACAGATAAGGGTCTGAGACAAAGCTTCAGAGAACTACTGCTGCAGACATGGATGCTGAGCAATAGCACTGGACTTGAAGAGGTAAGAGGATGGAGCAGATAAGCCCTGGGAAATCTGTCCAGCATAATGTGCTCCCGTTAGGACCACACAAAGAAACTGACTGAGGATTTTAGAGGAGATGGTCTTAAGGAGATGCATGGGTCACCTCTTCTTGAGCACTCACCCCTGAATTTCATCCATCATGCAACATGTTCCACTCTAAGGACGTCTAAAATTGTCCCCAGTAAAAGCCTGCTCCTGCAGAGGGTCAGTTTTAGTACCTTCTCCCTTTTCTAATTAGAGATGATAGAGTTCAGCTGAATGTTCTGTCTTTTCCTTATTTTCTCAGTATTCATGTAAAGCAAAAAGTGGGGCAGAAGATGAAGACAGAAATGATAACTTGACAAAGAGAGAAGAACTAATGGGCAAGGAAGAGACAGAGTGGAGGGGATAAAGAATATAGAGGAAATAATAAAGAAATGGGAGAGTCAAGTGAGGGAAAGGGGGTGCCAAACTTAGGGAGATAGTGACTAGAACATTAAAGATGGAGAGGAAGAAAGAAGACAAATAAGGCCAAGAACACCTCTTAAGAACACTGAGAACATTGCAAGGTGATGTCCCAGCTGTTCCACGAGGGTGGGCTAGGTTTTCCCCAAGCTAGGCCAAGGCTGGAGAAGGCCGTAGACACACCACATTTCACAGGAGCTGCCTGTCAGGCCCTGGACAGTGAAGGGGCTATGGGAAGCCATTCATATCCTCCAGTCAATCCTTGCTGGGAATAGATTCCTCACAGCAGCATCCCAGTGGACTCTGCTTGCTGTCTATTCCTGTAGGTGATTCAGACCTATTTGAGAAGACCATGGAAACATCTCCTCTCCTCTCCTCTCAGCTGAGCAGGGCTTACCTGCTTCCACATCATGTCTTCATGGCTCCTGAGATCTCTTAGGGATGACTTTTAAGGCTGCTCTGGGAGATAAGGAGTGCGAGTGCCAGGGGGCCCAGTGATTATAAACAGTAAGCTAAGAATATAACTCATTCTTCCTGATATTCAGCTCCAGAGTTTCTTTTCCCCAAACCATGTCCCTACTCCAAGGCCCTCTTCTTAGGGGACTTTCAGAAGCCAGAATGTAGGGTTGGCTTGGGTCATAGGTGACAGAAATAAAATAACCATCAATGATACTGGATGTTTACAATGCTCTAAAACTCCTTCAAGAGCTTCACGAACATTGTCCCTTTCTATCCCAGCAACCACATTTAGATCTAAATGCTCACTTCTCATATTACAGATGAGACACATGGGTGCCCAAGGGGTTAAATTAGATCCAAAATTATATCACCGAGTGGCAGAGCTATTTATGTCCAAACGTAGACTGTTCATTTATTCAGTTAACATTGTCAGAAACCCTAAAAAAAATTATCCAACAATGACCCCGAAACATTCTCATATGTCTGCTAATCACTACCGTCTTTATCTTTTTCCCTGTTTCTCCTATCTTTCATATTTGATTGCCTTTCTTGCCTTTGTCTTTCTCTATGCAATCTCCCTCAAAAATAACTGGAGAAAAGAGAGAGGCAAAAAAGGATAAAATTAACAAAAAATTATTCTCTCTCATCCTATGACTGAAAATGTCTGGCTTTCCCATAAGACTACTAGCTAACACCTGGGAGACAAATCTGACTCCTTCCTCAGTGCCCCCAACCAAACCCAGGGCTTGTATCTGCTTTATGCATGGTGTCACATCTATGATATCACGTATAAAGCAGGGGCCCAGGCAGTTTAAAAGTTTAAAACTTTTGAACTTTTAAGTTTCAAAGATTACATGATTCTATGATTTCCTTTTTAAAATTTTGCTATTAATATATAATTCACATCCTATAAAATTCAGTTTTCATGTATACAAGTCAGTGATCTTTACTGTATTTGCAAAGTTGTGCAGACATCACCAATATCGAATCGCAGGATGTTTTCATTACTCTGAAAAGAAACTTTCTGACCATTAGCAGTCATTCCCCATTCTCATCTACCCTAGCCTCTGGCAACAACTAATACACTTTCTGTTGCTTTGGACTTGACTATTTCTGAACATATTATCTAAATATAATCAAATGTGCTATTCTTTGTGTCTGGCTTCTTTCACTTAGCACGTTTTCAAGGTTCATTATATATCAGTACTTAATGTCTGATATAATTTTTCATTGTATAAATAGACCACATTTTGTATGTCTATTAGTCACATTATGGATATTTGGATTGTTCTCATTTTGAGGCTACAAATAATACTTCTTTGAATATTAATGTATAAGCTTTTGTGTAAAAATATATCTTCAGTTCTTTAGAGTATGTACCCAGGCGTAAAATTGCTGAGTCACTTGGTAACTCTACGTTCAACTGTTTGAAGAGAAGCCAAAAGGTTTCCCAAAGTGGCTTCACCAATTTACATTTCACCAGCAATGTTTGAGGATTCCAATTTCTCCACATCTTTGCCAACTTTGGTATTTTCTGTTTTGTTTTGTTTTGCTAATATGAGTGCAATGGTATCTCATGGCAGTCTTAATTTGCATTTCCCAAATGATCCATGAAGCTCAACTTCATTTCATGTGCTTATTAGCTATTTGTATGTCTGTTTTTGCCAAAATGTCTATTCAAATCATTTGCTTATTTTTAAATTAGTTTATTTGACTTTTTGTTGTTTACTTGTAAGAGATCTTTATATATTTTGGCTATGAAACTATTGTTAGATATATGATTTACAAATATTTTCTCCCATCATGTGGGTTGTCTTTCCACTTTCTTGACACTGTCCTTAGAAGCACAAAGGTGTTGGGAACTTTCCAGAACGCTCGGTGGAAAGCGGAGGAGCGGCGGCTGCCAGAGCTGCGCCCAGCAACGCGCTGCTTCCCGCTCCCCCACACCGGCCTCGGCCCGCTCACCGGCTGTAGAAAATGGTGAAAGAAACTACTTACTACGATGTTTTGGGGGGTCAAACCCAATGCCACCCAGGAAGAATTGAAAAAGGCTTACAGGAAATTGGCTTTGAAGTACCACCCTGACAAGAATCCAAATGAAGGAGAGAAGTTTAAACAGATTTCTCAAGCTTATGAAGTGCTCTCTGATGCAAAGAAAAGGGAATTATATGACAAAGGAGGAGAACAGGCAATTAAAGAAGGTGGAGCAGGTGGTGGTTTTGGCTCCCCCATGGACATCTTTGATATGTTTTTTGGAGGAGGAGGAAGGATGCAAAGAGAAAGGAGAGGTAAAAATGTTGTGCATCCGCTCTCTGTAACCTTAGAAGATGTATATAATGGTGCAACAAGAAAACTAGCTCTGCAAAAGAATGTGATTTGCGACAAATGTGAAGGCCGAGGTGGAAAGAAAGGAGCAGTAGAGTGTTGTCCCAATTGCCGAGGTACTGGAATGCAAATAAGAATTCATCAGATAGGACCTGGAATGGTTCAGCAAATTCAGTCTGTGTGCATGGAGTGCCAGGGCCATGGGGAAAGGATCAGTCCTAAAGATAGATGTAAAAGCTGCAATGGAAGGAAGATAGTTCGAGAAAAGAAGATTCTAGAAGTTCATATTGACAAAGGCATGAAAGATGGCCAGAAGATAACATTCCATGGTGAAGGAGACCAAGAACCTGGACTGGAACCAGGAGATATTATCATTGTTTTAGATCAGAAGGACCATGCTGTTTTTACTCGGCGAGGAGAGGATCTTTTCATGTGTATGGACATACAGCTGGTTGAAGCACTGTGCGGCTTCCAAAAGCCAATATCTACTCTTGACAACAGAACCATTGTCATCACCTCTCACCCAGGTCAGATTGTCAAGCATGGAGATATCAAGTGTGTGCTGAATGAAGGCATGCCAATTTATCGTAGACCATATGAAAAAGGACGCCTAATCATTGAATTTAAGGTAAACTTCCCTGAGAATGGCTTTCTCTCTCCTGATAAACTCTCTTTGCTGGAAAAACTCCTACCTGAGAGGAAAGAAGTAGAAGAGACTGATGAAATGGACCAGGTAGAACTGGTGGACTTTGATCCAAATCAGGAAAGACGGCGCCATTACAATGGAGAAGCATATGAGGATGATGAACATCACCCTAGGGGAGGTGTTCAGTGTCAAACCTCTTAATGGGGCCAGTGAACAACACTGCTGGCATTCTATGTGCAGTAGTGAACAAGTGAAGGACTATAATCATAGCTCACTACTTGCTATTGTTTTTGTTTTAATATTCAATATAGTAGTGTTTTAAAAGTTAAATGAAGAATAAAATATATAAAAGCTAAAAAAAAAAAAAAGAAGCACAAAGGTGTTTTGTTTTTTTTTTTTTTTTTTTTTTTGTGAAGTCCAACTTATCTAGTTTTTCTTTGGTTGCTTGTCCTTTTCATGTTAACCAAAACAACAATTGTATAATACATCTATGTTCTCTTCTAAAGGTGTTATAGTTTTACCACTTCTCAGCCTTATGGCTAAGATCAAGTATAAAGATGTTATGGTTTTACAAAACTTACATTTAGCCCTTTTATCTATTTCAGTCAATTTTTTTACATGTTTATTTATTTATTTTGAAACAGAGAGTATGAGCTGGGGAAGGGCAAAGAGAGAGGAAGAGAAAAAATTCCAGGCAGGCTCCTTGCTCAGCACAGAGCCTGACGGGGGGCTCAATCTCACGACTGTGAGATCATGACCAAAGCCAAAATCAAGAGTCAGGCACTCAACTGACTGAGCAACCCAGGTGCCCTAGAGTTAATTTTTTTTTTTTTTTAATTTGAGTTAATTTTTGTATATAAGTTGAGAGCAGGGTCCAACTTCAGTCTTTTTCAAGTGGATTTTCAACTATCCCAGCGACATTTGTTGAAAAGATTATTATTTACCCATTAAACAGTCTTAGTACTATTATTGAAAATCCATTGACCATAGACGTATGGGTTTACCTCTGAACTGCCAGTTTTCTTCCATTAGCCTATATGTTTGCTCCTTATATTAGTCCCATACTGTCTCAATTAGCTTAGATTTGCACAAGAGAAAACAGACAGCATGGAAATCTGATATACTGTTTCCAATCATTTAAAGGACTTTGGATAATGTTCAGGCATGGACAATAAAAATCAAGAGGTCTTCTGATTTCACTGAGGAAGGACTGGCAAAGGCCCACTATATTCTCCTCCAGCTTTCTTATTAAGGCCACTGACATTATCTGCCATGGCCTGAACATTCCTATACATCATCAACTGTGTTTGTTGTATTCCTATGCATCATCAACTATTTTCTCTCAACTGTGTTGTCCAATTAGTTGTCACATATTGTAACATTTCTTCAAATTGTTTTGCCATTTCATTGATACCACATCAGCCTAAGAGTATACCTCCAACACCTGAATTCCTAAAAGAGACTTCTATTGGCCCCTGCACCGAATCTGCCAGCACTCAGCCATTCCTTCCCTCTACTGAGAGTGATTTTTAAACCCCAAATTTCCTGCTTAAGCTCTTCAAAATAGACAGATCTCCCTGTTATAAAAACTAAACAATGATGGAATTGGTCTTAACTCACCTCTCTACTTCTTCTGACCTACTTGCTTTTTAGGTGGAATAGTTAATCCCTTCTACCCCTCAAGTCTTACAAGGAGAAGTGTACTTTCTATGACTTGGGGTGAGTGGATGCACCGTGACCTACTAATGGACATGTTCATGGACCACCACCTCTTTTCACTGTCTCTTCTTTCTTGTTGCTCATTAACTCCATAATGAATTATATTTTAGTAATGTCACACCACAAAACTATGCTTCCAAAGTCACTACTGACCTCAACATTGCTAAATAAAATGGACTCTCAGTCTAGAGATTGATACAGTTGACTTCACTTCTTTCTTGATTTTTTTCTCCTTTCTTGGGCCAGTAAGGTCACTCTTCCCTGCGCTTCCACCTATCTCTATGTCTTTCTTTTCAATTTCCTTTACAAATGGCTATCCTTCTATCCTCTCCTAAATATGAACATTATCCATGGTTCTTTTCCAAGCTAGCTTCAGTTTTGACTCCATATGATCTCTCTGAATGATCTTGGAAGAAAAATCAGGTTTCCACTATTTTTGAAACATGCTGATCAACTAATCTGCATCTTCTTCTCTCATTTATTTCTTGTTTTCCAACTGGCTACTTGAGACCTTCACTTGTCTGTTTCATAGGAACTTTAAAATCAAAATGCCCAAAATATGAATATAATTTTTTTCTTTTTAGATTTTTTTTTCAGTGAGTCACAGAAATTCAGTAGCTAGGCCAGAAATCTAGCTATCATTCCACACATCCTTTCTTTCATGCATTCTTCATATCTATTTAAGTAGTCACCAAATTCTAAATATCCTACCACTTAGTATAAGTAGTTCAGCAAGCTCTGGAAAGAAGTGGATGTTTGAGATGGCAGGTAAAAAGGATGAAAGAGAAAATTAACTGTATCAAGTAGAATAGTTGCTTGATAAGGCTGAAGTGTGAGGCCATGAATGTACGCTGTGTTAATTTGTGGATATTTGTGATTTTTTTCTAGTGTTAAGCAGTCCTAGGGCTAACATCAGGGAAATTAGATGCTAAGATTGATTCAGGATAGATACCAAAGAGCTAGTTTGATAGATAGATATTGATTTTAACTTTGTCAGGATTCAGACTACAAACTTAGCTATAAACATTCAGTAATCTGAAAACTAAATTTCAATTTTATTCTTTCTCATGTTGTTCTCTGATGCATTGCCCCTCCTAAGCAGCAAGTGGAAGAACAATTTCAATAACTGACTCAGAAGAAGCCACTGTATTAATTAAATCACCATATATTGCCAAGGATTTGCTTTCTCTGCCTTATACATATTTATTTTTAAGAATAATATGTGGCTTTAGATTATAGTATTTTGACAGTATCTGGAAGTTTTAAAATTAAATACATTGGTAGGCCCTGTCAATAGGAGTCATTAGATGTAGACTGGAAGCCGGGAGAAGGGTAAGGGGTGTACTTTTCTTGTTAGCTTTCTGCTCCTGTCATTGTCACCCAAGCAACTGCTTTATCCTTGGCAACGGCAGTTGATTCTAACAAAAGCAGCTGGTTCAAGTTTGTGGTGGGTTTTTTTTTTTTTTTCCCACTCTTACCTCCAAACAGCTTTGTGATACAACTTGTATATACCAGTGCCAGCTCTTGGTGGCCCATTCTTAGAAGTCTGGGCCTCAGCTTTCTTGGTACTGTCCTTGAAGCTTCTATAACCAGGATCTTTCTTACAGCAGAAATTGATTCCAGCAGTTACCAAATCTTTATGGAGTCAGTGTGCCCTGCAATTCAAACTCCTTCCATTTGTAACTATATAAAAACAAGAGTTCTCAGAGCTTAGTTTTATAAAAATTAAATGGAGATAACTGAGGGTGAAACTTGTCTCATACCACCAGTACTGATTTTTGAATATATGAATTCATTGAAGGAAAAACAAGAAAAACACCAGCAATCTTATTAAAAACTTGATTTTCAAAAGAACTGGTTTATATTTAGTAATTTATGAAATTAAAGTTTCTTTATATTGCATGTATTAATGTATAATTAAAATATTATAATTATCAAACATTTTAATACTCACAGACAAATGATTAAAGAAAATAAAATTAATCATCATAATTTGCATACCTATTTTTATTGCAAACAATGATGAAAGAGTGGACATCACAAGATCTTTTTAAATTTTTTAATATTTTATTTATTTCTTTTGTTTTAATTTTTAATGTTTTTATTTATCTCTGAGAGAGAGAGAGAGAGAGAGACAGCATGAGCAGGGGAGGGTCAGAGAGAGTGGGAGATGCGGAATCTGAAACAGGCTCCAGGCTCTGAGCTAGCTGTCAGCAGAGAGCCCGACGCGGGGCTCGAACTCACGAACTGTGAGATCATGACCTGAGCCGAAGTCAGACGCTCAACCAACTGAGCCACCCAGGCGCCCCCATCACAAGATTTTTAAGCATAAAAGTTAATGTGTAGGAAAATGGACCAACTTCAAGGAGACAAAGCAATAATGTTAAATTTATGACAGTTACGGAAATCTTGTTCATGTATTTTTAAATGGCTAATAAAAGGGGGAAGAAAATTTCAAGGCTGCTTATATTCCATAGGATTTAAAAGACTAATGTGTTTTTTTTATCTTAAAAATGTTGATATTTACACTGTACCAAACATCATATCCTTTTCTAGTGCTTAAGTATTAAATGACAATTTTTAGATGTCAAGTTAATATTTTTGAGGGAACATATACTATGTCAAAATTCTTTTGTCAAGTTCCCAGGCAAAGGTTTTTGAACACCACTGGTTTGTATTAACATGAAAGGAAATAAGCATGAACAAAGGAAAAGAAGGCAGTACTCTGAAAGCTTTGGTGGAAAGAATCCTTGGTTGGAAGGTTTGATGGATGGCTTAATGTCAAAGGATCTGGGGGGATCTGGCTAAAAGACTGATTGCTCCACTTCCAGGGCAAGCTCTGTGGGTGTGAAACCTGCACAGTAGCATAAGGTCCATGCTCCAATGGTCCTGTGCTTGACTTAATATTCTGATGCCATGTTCTTAAAATTACTAATAATTTATTTTTGAACTTATGAAGGCTAATGGGACAACAGAGCATCTCCACCACCATTTCTTACCACCAGATTCACATATAGCATTTGTGATGCCCTGTCTACACAGAATACCATGGACCATGATACATGGAAATTCAGTGAGATACACAAAATTAAGGGAAAGCAGAGAAAAAGAAGAAAGGGAAAGAACAGAGGATGTAAGAGAAGAGAAGGGAAAAAGAACATAAAACTTACTAGGTTTTATTTCTACTTTCCTTGAAAATATCCTATGGAAAATGTTCTTTCCTCATGCTTTTCTTTTTGTTTTTCAACCCCTCCTAATTATCTCCCTAGGAATGAGCACCACAGATCAAATCTCTAGAGCAAGCAGCATCACAGAGAGTCAATAAATAGCCTCACTTACCAAATCCCTTAACCAGAGGATGCTGGAAATCTGCACTAAGCCGAAGATACTAAATGAGCTCACAAAATTAAGGACAGCTCAGAGTTTTGAACTCAAATTCCACACTCAGCCCTCATTATCCTCCAAATCACATCTGTATAACCTGCACAAGAAGACAGCTTTCACATCCCTAAACAAGCCACTGCCTTCGGCATACATTGGCACGAGCTATTGCTCCACTGCATACTTCCCCACACAGCCCCACACTCACATGGGACACCCGTCACCAAGCTCCAGCCTTGGCATGCTCAACTTGTGAACACATGACACTCAACACAGGTATGTTTTTGAAATCACATTCTAAAAAAATATATATTATGCTCACATAAAGAACTAAGGATTTAATGATTAAAGCCTAGTCTCTAAGACATCATAGGGATCCAGAGCCAAGGCTGAGTGGGATGAATTTGGGAGAACTCCCCCCTTTTCACTCAAAGTGGTGTCCAGCTCAAAGTCTTTTTCACGTTTCCCTGGGAAACAACTTTGCTTAGACCTTTCTAGTACTCACATAGAATAGCAGAGTAGTTTACAAAGTAGCAGCTTCCTTACAGTAATCTTTGAAATCTTTCTCTGGCAATAGGCTGGGAAGAGGGGTCACGAGAAGGTGGTAGTGACTCCAGCTCTCCACTCGATCACCACACTTTTCTTCTGTACTGGCTGGACTTCCAACAGTGGAAGTCTCCAGGCAAATAAGAAGAGCTTTCATTGTATCTGTCTCTTTGAAATCCAGATAATGAGTAAAGAGATTACAACATTAGATATTAATATTAGAGTATCTGGCAAGAAAAAGATAGGAATTCAAATATTGGCCATATAAATGGACACCCAAGTGAGGTGAAAACATCAGATGTTGAATCATGAGATGTGAGACATAATTTCAGTCCTGATAGTGACACGCTTTGTTATCTGGACTGCATCAGTTTATTTACCTGAACTTGGACTTCCCCTTGGTAAAATAGGTATGATGGTATGATACTCTTTATCACTCCAATATGTGGCTACAGGAAAAAGAGCTTGCACAAATGGGGAAAACATTATTTTTGGTGTCCAAACATTTTTATCCCATATACTTAACACCTTCTTACCCACAAAAATGTGAGATATAAAAGCCAGGTGCTGTCATTTCCAACAGATAAATGAAAAAATTGAGTCTCAAAAATATTGTGGGACTTAACCAACACTGAGCATTGAATACGTAGAAAAGCTGTGATGAGAATTTCAGTCTCACTGTTTTTCATAACTGGAGACTGCACAGAGAAGGGAAAAGATTTTTCTCAAGGTTGTGCATCATTTTTGTGACAAGTCAGGAATAAAGTTTAGGAGACCAGGTAATCCTACAAAGGATTTTTAGGTATGCTTGGGGCTTAGAATGTGAAAATCAAAACATGATTTTGAATAACAAAAATAGCAGATGAAAAAATGGACTGTATGTGATATATTATTTTAAGATTTGGAAAATTTAACAACAGTATATGTTTTTCTCAATGTAAAGAAGATTGTTTCACAGAAAGGTCACCAATTTAGATGAATGAACCAAATATATGATGTTACTGGGCAGGCTTTCCATCATCCTTTGGATAGGGCCCTTTATTTCCAAGCAGAATGCCAGCTTCCAATACCAGTGATGACAGTCTCCCAGTCACTCTCGTCCTGACGGGGATCCCAGGGCTGGAGTGGGCCCACGTCTGGATCGCCATCCCCTTCTGTGCCATGTATCTGGTAGCGCTGGCTGGGAATGCTGCCCTCATCCTGGTCATTGTGACAGACAGCACTCTTCATGCACCCATGTACCTCTTCCTGTGCCTTCTCTCACTCACCGACCTGGCTCTCAGCTCCACCACTGTGCCCAAAACATTAGCCATTTTGTGGCTCCACGCTGGACAGATTTCCTTTGGTGGCTGCCTGGCCCAGATGTTTTGTGTCCATTCTATCTATGCTCTGGAGTCCTCAGTTCTTCTTGCCATGGCCTTTGATCGCTATGTGGCTATCTGCAACCCACTGAGATACACAACCATCCTCAACCATACCGTCATAGGCAAAATTGGCCTTGCCAGCATACTCCGTAGTATAGCCATTGTCTCCCCATTCATCTTCTTGTTGAAGCGACTGCCTTACTGTGGTCACCATGTCATGGCCCACACCTACTGTGAGCACATGGGCATCGCTCGCCTGGCCTGTGCCAACATCACTGTCAATATTGTCTATGGGCTGACTGTGGCCCTGCTGGCCGTGGGTCTGGATTCCATCCTCATTGCCATCTCCTATGGCTTCATCCTCCATGCTGTCTTCCGCCTTCCATCTCAAGATGCCAGGCACAAGGCTCTGAGTACCTGTGGCTCCCACCTCGGGGTCATCCTGGTCTTCTACATTCCTGCCTTCTTCTCCTTCCTCACCCACCGTTTTGGCCAGCACCGAGTCCCCAAGAATGTGCACATTTTTCTGGCAAACCTGTACGTGCTGGTGCCTCCCGTGCTCAACCCGATCATCTATGGGGCTCGGACCAAGGAGATTCGAAGCAGACTTCTGAGACTGCTTCACTTGAGGAAGGTCTCAGTATGACTTCTAAGCAGCCATTGGAAATGATAAACAAAGGTAAATGAGCAAGATTAATTGTCTAGAAGCCTTTACATATATGGAAGCATATGATGTGAGAGGCAGTGACATGGCAGGAAGCATGGGAAGAGAAATGGTCAGATAAATTGGGTATGTTGACTATGACATTGAATTTGCTCCTTGGGCAATTCTGAATTGCCCAGAACAAGATTAAGTCTTTTCTCTCATCTCAGTAGGGACTATAATTTACCAAAAAGAAAGGCATTCTTGTCTGGAATTCATACTGCCTTTCATGATAATACTAATATTCCAGTGGGAAATGATGTGAAAAACAAACCAAAACCTGAGCATTTGGAGTGCTTTGGATCTGAACTACAGAAGACTGGGCAATGGCCAAGAGCATAAGAACTAACACGAGGGTGCTTGTGCTTGAATGCTGGCTCCTCTGCCCACTAGTTTTGTGTGTGAGCATATTGCTAAATCCTTTTATCTCTATTTTGGTCAACAGTAAAAGGGGATAATGATAACACTTAACACTTGAGGTTGTGGTGGGGATTGCCACATTATTGAATGTATGTAGAAATCTGAGAATAATATCTGAAACATAAAATACCCAATAAATAAATATGAGATGTAAATGTTCTGTAACTTTTCTAGACATTATTATTTTCATATAAGACTTATTTTGTATTATCTGAGCTCACATATTATAACTGTTAATAAAAGCTAGACAGTACTTGGGATATGATTAGCACTCAGTAAAACCATATTTTCTCTCCTAACCTCCCCTTCTGATTGTAATTGTTATCCACTATGACAGGCAGCTGCAAAGTTAATTGATTGTGTGTAATTGTTTTTAGCAAATGCCCACAGGGAAAAAAGGATATTTCTATTGAGAGCTATAGATCAGATCAAATAGCGACAGCCTTGCAAAAGTGGTCTTCACAGGAAGTATCAAACAGGCCAAATAATCACAAGTTTCTAAAGGACATTTTGAAAGAAGTCCAGCCCCAGTCGGCTATCTCCTGATGCCACGGGGCTAGTGGTTTTCACTGTGCACACTGGTTGACAATTAAAAAAAAACTTTTTTTGGGGCGCCTGGGTGGCTTAGTTGGTTAAGCGTCCGACTTTCGCTTAGGTCATGATCTCACGGTTCATGGGTTCGAGCCCCGTGTCGGGCTCTGTGCTGACTGCCAGCTCAGAGCCTGGAGTCTCTTTCAACCTGTGACTCCCTCTCTCTCTGACCCTCCCCTGCTCACGCTGTCTCTCTCTCTCTCTCCTAGAAATAAATAAAACATTTAAAAAAAAATTTAAAAAAATTAAAAAAATAAAAAAACTTTTTTTAATGTTTATTTACTTTTGAGAGAGAGAGAGAAAGAGAGAGAGAGAGAGAGAGACGGGGTGTGAGCAGGCAAGGGGCAGAGAGAGAGACACACAGAATCCAAGCAGGCTACAGACTGACCTCCAGCCTGCCACAGGGCTCAAGATCATGACCTGATCTGAAGTCAGACGTTTAACAGACTGAGCCACCCAGGTACCCCACAGGTTGACATTTTTTTAAGGCTGCTGTAGAGCTAGAGAGTGAGGGAATGAGATTAGAACAAATCAAAATGACACAAAGCCACCAATCTTGCAAAAATTCAACCATTTTTCCTAAATACAAACTGCCTGCATAGATGCAAGCCTTGGTTTAATGTCTAGAATTCTGAAAAAGTTTGGACCATTGCTTTGGTTGTTTTCTCACAGTTTCCATGGAAGAGGAAAATTTCCGAGGTCTTTACTCGGCTATTTTCACAGATGTCACTACAGTACTCTGTATTATTTCTTTGCTGGAAGCCATGAGAGCAAAGAAATCCATTAGGGAAAAAGGAAGGAAGTGTGTTATATATGAGAAAATGGTTTCAGATCATATCTGTTATGAAGACCAGACCAATCACTTATCAGTTGTATGATGTTATCTAAACCATGATTGAAACCTTAGTTTCCTCATTCTTAGGAATAGATATCTTACAAAACCCATGTGCAGTTGTGAGTATCTTATGGATTATTTACTTAGACTGCAAGATGGCAGGAGTGCAACAGATGTTATTTCCCTTCACCAGCATCTACCTCCCCCACTTTTCGGACAATGATAGGACAGACAGGGTAGAAATCAGAGAACTTGACTTCCATCAGTTATGGATGTTCTCAGGCAGGAATGCTGGGCTAAGAAGGGAACTTCTGACATCACAGAAGAAGGACTTCCTGTCACTCTTCTCCTAAGGGCACTGTCATTCTCAGCTCTGGCTTAAAATCCTCCACTCCTCTTTGACTATTACTCGCACCCCCATGCCCATTTAGTCTTCAAGTTTCATAACCTTTCTACAAACATTCCTGCCCCTTCATGTACTATATCTGCCTGAGTTTAGACTTTCACCATCTGAATTATCAAAGCAATCTCCTAATTTTTCCCTGTACAACTCTGCCAGAATGCATCAATGAGTCCCTTGATCTACACTGTGCTTACTCTAAGCTCCAACTATTCCTGGTAAAGTTCTGTAAAATATACACATTATCCTTTGTTTAAAACTTGGGAAATGACCCAGGCATGTATCATCTTTTGGGAATTGGTCTTAACTCATGTCTCTACTTCTATTCATTGATTTTGGATGAAATATTTAAACTTTTTCTACTTCTTGAGCAGTAAAAAGAGAAATGTGTATAGTACAGCCTGGTGCAAGTCAGTGTACCAGTTGTTGCTCAAGATCATGGTTATTTGCCATAAGATCCCCTTTTGTCTTCTTTCTTTTTTCTCATTCACTCCCATGGACAATACTTTAGTAACATCGTGTCACAAAACTGTGTTTCTACTGCTACCACTGACCTCATCATTACTGAATATGCTGGATTCTCACTAGAGAGATTGATATAGGTGACTGTTCCTTATTTCTTGATTCTTTCTCCTTTCTTTGATTAGGAAGAGCCACATTTCCCTGGTCCTAAGCTTATTTCCATGTTCACCTCTCTTCAGTTTCCTTTACAAATGATTCTTCAACTTTTCTTCCTAAATACTAACATTCTGCACAGCTTTTTTTCAAAGTCTGCTCTAATTTTAACTCTGTATTTTTGCTGAATGATCTTAGAAATATCAGATTTCAAATCTACATCTTTAGTTATAATTTATAGTATTTCCAACTAATGTTTGGCATCTATAGTCAGTTGGTTGCTGCATAGAATTGGAAAGTCAACACGTGCCAAATATGAATGCATTCCTATTCTTGATAGTTTCCTTTTCTCAATAAATAACATGATATTTTTTTGTACTGAACTGTGTTACCTAGGCTTTTCTGAAGAGTCAGAATTGATAGATAGATAGATAGATAGATAGATAGATAGATAGATAGATATAGATATAAGGATAGATTTATATTAAGGAATTGACCTATGTTCATGTAATTATGGAGGTTGAAAAGTCTAATGATTTTTCATGAGAGATGGAAACCCTGGGAATCCAGTGACATAAGGCTGTCTAAATCTGAAGGCCTGTAAACCAGAGCAGCTGATGGCAGAGATTCTAGTCCACATCGGAGGGCCCGAGTATCAGGAGCACCAAGGACACAAGAAGATGTCCTAACTGAAGCGAACAGACAAGAAGCTCTTGGGTTTTTCTTCCTCCAACTCTTTGCTCAATTCAGGTCTTCAGTGGATTGGATGATGCTCGCAGCTGTTGACAAAGACAACTTGCTTTATTGAGTCCACAATTCAAACCTTAATTTCATCCAGAAACACTCTTACAAAGACACCTAGAAAACTATTTAGCCGACTCTCCAGGCACTAGGGTAACCGGTCAGTTGACACATAAAATTAACTATCACACAGACTAAAGCAAAAACCCAAGTGTCATTCTGCACATATTTTTCTCATTTGTTTCTCATATCCATTCCAGTAGTCACCAAACTCTAAATATTTTACACCCTCAGTATAAGTCAGACAGCAATTCCCAAGGTGCAATGAGTGTTTGAGATGACACCTAATGAGATAATTAAGAGAAATTAACAGAGCAAGGAGAATGATTGTTAGACAAAGCTAAGGCAAAGCTCAAACAAGGCCAAGGATATTCATTGTGTTAATTTGTGGATATTTATGATTTTTATCCATAGTATTTACTTGGTATTGATTGTATGCCACAAAAAAAAAAATCCAAAAAACAAAACAAAAAACAAAAACAACAAGCCCTCATATGTTGAGGTTCTAACCCCCAATGTAACTGTGTTGGAAGTTAGCATTTAGAAGAATAATTAAAGTTAAATGAGGTTATGAAGTTTAGGCTCTAGGCTGATAGGATTAGTGTCCTAAGAAATACAACTGAGAAGATCCCTCTTTCTGCTCATGCTCAGAGGAAAGGTCAAGGAAATGGAGACCTCTGTCTGCAAGCCAGGAAGAGAGTCCTCACCAGCAACTGAACCCTACCAGACCTGATCTTGGACTTTCTAGCCTCCAGAACAGTGAGAAAATAAATTACCATTGTTTGGACCATGCAGCTTATGGCCCTTTGTCACAGCAGCCCCAGCAGGTGACTACAGTATCCCACAGTAGGAAAAATAGAAGCACAAGGCTGCATGGTGAGATTACTCAGGTTAGGAGCCAGAGAGCTACGCTAAAGGAATGACAAACCCTCTCCTGCCAGACACACAATCTCTGGTGAAAAGAGATTAGTTTTTATCATTCTTGTGTTAGGATTATGATCACATAGTTGCAAGAATTCTGTGTTCTTAAAATCACTTATACTTCAAGCCTACTTTTCTCATCCAGTCCTCTGTCTTTTCCAGGCAACACGCAAGGGAACAATTTCAATTCCTGATGTAGAGCAAGTCTCTTCCATCAGTAATTATATCACCATACACGTGACTACGGCTTGATGTATCTGGTTATAAATATTTATTTCAGAGCAATGTATGATTTTGGAGCCAAGTATTTTGGCAGTGTTTGTATGTCCTGAATATAAGTATATTATTAAAAAATAGGCA